GCAGTTTCCGAAGTGCTGATTGGATATCGATGTAGAGGTCTAGTGCACCAGCTGACAGAGACGGTCTGCCAATCAAACACGAGTGCGATGAGAATTCGATGACAGAAGGGGGATGCCGGCCGAGGATGCAGTCTATTATCCCGGCCACCAAACCTTGGACAAACTTTGGTCCAAAAAAGGTAACCCTTCCCTTCACAAAACCCATATACATAGTTAGATATAAGGGGTAAAATCGGGCGTAGATTCCGATTTTGAGGTCTATTTTTGCGTATCTGCAACCATTGATCTCCCAATCGGCCGTTTAAAAAAGGCTCTATATCTTGCAGAATTGTTTGCAATTGTGGGCTTGGCACGTACTAACATGCATGCATATTCATTGGCAGAGCCGGGATAACAGGTGGGGATTTTCAGAACCGGATGTATAAATTCCAAATATTACCGCAATTTGACGATTGTTAGAAAATTATAAACTTGTTAAAAAGAACCCGTCAAAAGAATATCTAGAGTGTAAAGAACATACAACGGGTCACCCGTTCATATTCCTAATCGGCTACAGCTTCATTGTCATCGACGGCGTCATCCTCTTCCGTGTCCTCGTTGCTGCCCTCTGGTTCCGATGCAATTTCGCATTCATCACCTTGCTGCAGATATTTTGTCTCGTATTTCTGTGCGTGTGTGTATGCATTTACCCACGTATCTGACGTGAGCGATGCAAAACCTTCGTAGATTTTACAGCGTAGCTCAGGCATATCTGATGCTGGATTGTGGAGTGGGGGTTCGTTTGGCGTTTGTGATAGCTGGCCCCATCCATGTGTATGTTACATGGCCCATACTTGGACGCCAAAATAGCACTCAGATTCGTGAACCACTTCTCAAACTGCTCGATGTTGAAGTTGCCATGATAATCGTCATCGTTCTTACGTTTTAAGTTGGATTGCCACACCTCTTTCGATTCTTTGACCAATTCACCAACTAATCCATTCTTTTCTCGCCGAAGTATACCAGCGGCTATAATGCAAAACCTTTAAAAACAAAAAATAAAATAATTGTTATAAATTCTTAATACAAATAACGTTAAGGTTTTAATTTACAAAAACAAAATAAAACACTCACCGTGGACCTCGACCACTCTTCGTATACCGCAGCTTGTCCTCATCAACCCACGATAAATTGGCGACATGGTGCAGGTTACAAAAAGTCTCGTCGAGATAAACCTCGGGGCGCACTGGAAAATTGCGTCTGTTCAGGTTTAAAACTTTTTTTCTCAAATATTGCGCCCTGAACGCAACATTTGCCGTCGTTTCTGCCATAATATTGCGAGACCTTCCTTTTATAAATCGCATTCCCATCCTCCTAAGCACGCGACGTAGTGAGCGCACTGATACCACAATGTTGTGCTCTTCTTTAAGACGCTGTGCTAACTGTGGTGCTGCAACAGGTTTTCCGCTCTTGTTCATTCTTGACACCGACTCACGCACGAGAGGCTGTATGCTTTGTCCATGTTTCGGAGGCCTCCCAGATGGTTTTGGACCTTCCATCTGTCATAATTAATTTGTCGACCACTGAAATGATAAATATCAATAATAACTGAAATGATATGAAGTACAGCCTACCGAGGTGAAATTCTTGTCGTGGTGCTGCTCCCAGTGCGCCCATATAGCTGAAATGGTGCCCGTAGCAAAGCCTAAACACTCTTTGACATGATAACGAACTCCTCCTTTCCATAGATGCGGTGCAGAGGCCTTCTTTTGGCGGAGGAACTCGTAGGTCTTCACACCAAGTACTTCTCAGCAGCAGTCAATTTCTTACCGGCGACCATTTGAAAAGTAGGTCGACCTTCTGGATCGCGGCGTTCTTTTGCGTCCCGTAGCATAGAGACTGCATTGCGGGACGCTCGACTGTGTCTCAGCTACGGACATCAACTTCAGCTTACGTGGAAAACTGTGAAGTCACTTTTGAACTTCAAGCAAACGCGTCTCTCCAGACGCATCGTTTTCTCGTCGTCACGACAGAAGTGTCGTGTACGGGGTAATAATACCTGGTGGTGGTGTGTACACTGTATATATAGCGTGTGGTGTATCGCCATAGAGTAGATCTAATGCGACACAATGTTTCTCCTTGTTATCGACGAGATGCGTCCGAATTTTCATAATTGAAGTTGTCGCTTTTGTAATTAGCGCTAAATTCTACAACATAAACATGAGATAAAAGGTGAAAAGTGTTGACGAAACAGAATGCAATAAACTTGATCGCGGATTGCCACCATTCGCTGTGCCACGGAAGGGCAACATGCTGCACACGTCACTGTGTCAGGCGTGTCGTCGTCGGCAACGCCTACTGTATCGAAGATAGCTCCAGGTTTGTTTTATTATACGGCGAGTGACTCTTTAGCCTGGATCGCTCGCGCTAAAGAGCCTTTATGAAAAAGCGAGAGTCATACGACATACTTCCCGAGGTGTACCAGTTGGCACGACTCCGACGTGGCACTTGTTTCAACGCGCTTCAAAATGGTCGCCGTCGTCACCTGTTCGCTTCGCGTCCGACGACACGATGGTCCACCGAGACGGCACTACCAACGCAAAAAACGAATTCCCATATTTTGTTGAAGAAGATTTTTTTTAAGCATCGCAGCAACAGTCACAACTTAAAGCGATGATGACGCAATGTGTATATCGCTTTGCTAAATGAAAGATCTTCTTGAAATCTACAAAAGAGGCGATTGGCAAGTGGGTTTTTCGCAGGCTGAAGTTGACGTTAATCATTTCTATGCTGCTATAAGAATTACACATGCTCATCACGAATGGTGGTCAATGAAATGGGTGCCTTTGAGACTCAGTTATTACCTATTTGCGTCATCCAGACTAAGACCAACAAAACTTGAGAGAAAAGCATAAGAGAATGATGTACAAGCCACACACAACCATGGAGCTCGGCGACGTCGTGCTGGGTCAGATCACCCTGGCGCTTGTGTTTGTGCTCGACCACATGATTCCCGCAGTGCACAAAATCGTCAGCTGGGATACAGACGACGTTGATCTGGGCCCGATCATCCCGGTATGAAGATCATCTAGTGAATCAATAACGCGGATGCGATATTCTAAGATGTTTTTATCCATGCAGGAATGGAGTGGCACTATTTGGCCGATCACAAGCAAGAGCATGATGCCCACGACGACCGAAAAGGCCTAGCTATTGAGTCGCTACTGCTGTTGCGCAGCAACCTTCAACTTCCTACCCCGATTGTGGCGAGCAGTGCAAACTAGTTATAACGGTTGCATACTCTTTTTTAAATTATGAACAGGAAACATGCTTCTTAAAGTATCCAATCACTAATATCGGTACTACTTCGTAATACGTACAGTACGGTATCACAGTACAGTTCGGCAGCATGTGCGTCAATTACACACATGGCTGTACTGACAAAGTTGTGCGGCTACAGAAGGCCAAACACTTGTATAAGCAACCAGAGTGTACAAATCTTTTAACCAGGCCAAACGATTACTCATTCCGAGA